TTTTTTTTTTTTTAGTTTTTTATATGTTCTTGATAGTAAGCCTTTGTCTAAGGAATGACTGACAAACAGCTTTTACCACATTGTAGCTTGTATCTTCACTCTGTTGGTGGCTTCTATTGCTGTACAAAAGATTTTTAGTAAGATGAGATCCCAATTGTTGATTATTTGGGGTAGTTCCTGTTTGATCAGGGTTTCATTGATAGAGTTTTGGCCTAAACCAGTGTCTTCAACAGTTTTACCTACACTATCCTCTAGCAGATTTATTGTTTCTGTTTTAATATTTAGATCTTTTATTCACTTCAAATTTAGTTTAGTGCATGGTGAAAGATACTGGGTCCAATTGTAATCTTTAGCATGTGTAGAGCCACTTTCCCCACCACCATTTATTAAAGAAACTATCTTTCTTCCATGAATGTACTTTGTATCTTTGTCAAAGATAAGGTGGCTTACTACTATTATGGACTATCGGACTATATTGGGTTATTTTGCTGAATTCAAGTACCTACAATCTTTAGACTGGTTTCAAGTATGAAAAGGTCCTTTAAAGACTTCTCCAAATACAGCTTCTCTAACTGCAGTGAAACACCCATCTCTGAAAACACAAAATGGAAAAGGGGGATATTTTGGGAGCCATGAAGCTAGGAAATCAATCAAATATATGTAGGTGGGACTTGACCCAGTGCCTAAAGTAAACAAGTTACCTCACTCCTGAGATGAACACTCTGTCTGGTTAAGATTTGCTATCAGTTGCCAAGCAACCTAGTTTCATACAATACTAACTTCACAAAAGTGTAAATAAAAGACAGTTTTGTTGTGAAAAAAGGAGGGAAGGAAAATTATATAGAGAGCTAGGATAGCTATACAGCTACTTTCTCTTAGCTAACTGAGAATAGAAGTTTGTACTAAAAATAAAAAGGTAAAGTGGCTAAATATGTCTGGAGTTGTTTCTGCATCTTCCACCCTTTTCCACTGATCCTCTGTTATTTGCCAGTACCACACTGTTTTTATCACAATAGCTTTGTAGTATAATTTCAAGTCAAGGAATGTGATGCCTTCTGTCTTGCCTTTGTTGCCCAGAATTGCTTTTGCTATTCTAGGTCTCTTCTGGTTCTAAATGAATTTTATGATTGTTTTCTCTAATTCTGCAAGATATGCTCTTAGAATTTTTATTGGAATTACATTAAATCTGTATAATAGTTTTGGAAGTATGGCCGTTTTTACTATATTAGTTCTTCCTACTCAAGAACAAGAGATCTTTCCATTTCCTGATATCCACTTCAATCTCAGAAGTTTTTAATTTCCTTTGTTAGATTGGTTCCTAGGTATTTTTTGGATACTATTGTTAAAGGTATTGTTATTCTAGTTTCTCTCTCTTTGAGTTTGTTGTTCGTATACAGGAAAGCTGTTGATTTTTGAATGTTGACTTTGTATGCAGCTATGCGACTGAATTTGTTTATTAAACCTAAAAGTTTTCTGTGTCTTCTATGTAGAGTATCATGTCATCCTCAAACACTGATAGTTTAACTTCTTTCTTATCATTATTCGTTTCACTTGCCTAATTGCTCTGGCTAAAGTTGCTAGGACTACGCTGAATAAGAATGGAGACAGTGGAAATCTTTGTCTTATTCCTGATCTTAGAGAGAAAGCTTTCAGTTTTTGTCCGTTTAGTATAATGTTGGCTGTCGGTTTGTCATAGATGGCTTTTATCAGATTGAGATAAAGATCATGTAATGCGATTTTCTTTTTTTAAATAATTTTATTGAGAAACAAATATCAATGAGACAGTTTCAAAACCGATGAGTAGGACAGTTTCAATAATTAATACATTGCATATTGTTATCTTAGTGGTTATTCATTGTACAAGATGTAGACATGATATCCTGTCCATACACACTATTAAAACAACTCTTTCTATTCATTGAATTAAGAGAAAGTAGCTGTATATCTTAACTATTTTGAATATACAAATACAAAATGCTCATTCATTTGTATCCTCTTTTTTCTTTAGTTTTGTTAGAGAAGGGTATTCCATTGTCATTTAAATATTTAGGTGTGTGAATTCAGCAAAATATTCCAATACAGTCCAGTAGTCCATAATAGTAGTGGGTTTTATTGTTTGCTTGTTTGTTTTTGGTAGAACCGGGGATTGATCTCAGGTCTTTGCGCTTGCCAGGGAAGTGCTTATTCCACTGAGCCATCTCCCTGACCCCTCTATTGTGTTTTGAATCATGAATGGATGTTGTGCTTTGTCATATGCTTTTCTGAATCTATGGAGATGATCACATGCTGTTTGTCTTTGGCTCTGTTAATATGGCATATTATATTTATGTATTTGCTTATCTTAAAACATCCCTGCAATCATAGGATAAATCTTGCTTGGTCATAGTCTATAATCTTCCTGATGATTTGCTTCATTCCATTTGCCAGTATTTTATTGAGGAGTTTTGCATCTGTGTTCATTAGGGAGACTGACCTATAGTTCTCTTCTGTGGTTAGATCCTTCTCTGATTTTGGTATGCAGGGAATTCTTGCTTCAGTAATGAATTTGGGAGTATTAATTTCCTTTCAATTTCATTTTCAAGCGTTTGAGCAATAGTGATTTTAGGTTTTTTTAAAAAAATTCTTATAGAACTCAGCATTGAATCCATGAAGGCCTTGGCTTTTCTTTGTTGGCAGGGTTTTAATTACATCTTCAATTTCATTGATAGATATTGGTTTATACATCAATTGTAGCCTAGAAAATGACAAACTGAGATAATTAATTTTCCACCTTTTAACTATATAAACTAGATGTGTGGTTATATAACAAAACCTGAAACAAACCAGAAAATTATATGCAGTATATAAGTCCTTAAAATGTCAATTTTCCCATTAGGATTAAAATTTAAAATCATTTAGGGAGAAAATAGAGAAGCATAAGAAGAGATTATAAGTAAGGCTGGAGGACAGAGGGAGATCATGCTAACTTTGGGAAACTGGTATAGGAGACTGGAGGGAAGGATAAAAGAAAGGGATAAAAAGAAAAACAGAACAAAAGAAGTGCCACAAGGCTTGAAATTGTGTTCACACTCATATAAAAACAAAATCAAACAATTAAAGAGAACTAAAACAAACAAAAATAAAGCCACAACGGCAACAACAAAAAACAAACGAGAGAGAGAGAAAGAAAAAAAGAAGTCTACTTCCAGGTCTCCCTGATGTCACTAGTAGGTAACATGTGGAGACAGAGTCCCAGTCTGTGTTGATTTATCCAAGAAAGCCAGCAGTAGCTTTTTGGAGGGGCAGTGGGCAATCTCAGTGAGCCTATACCTTCTGGCTGAGACCAGACCCATTTGGCCTGCAACTGTCAGCACACCCTTTGTGGGCCTGAATCCATCTGGGGGCTGCTAGGTGGAGCACACAGCTTCTCTGGCTTTCTGAAGTCAGTCAGT